CTGCTTCCTACTGGATATTAGGGTTTCTTGGGTATGTGTGTGTATGTGTGTGTGTATGTGTGTGAATGCATGTGTGATACTGGGGCTTGAGCCAGGGCCTTTGTACTGAGTCATACCCCCATCTCCATTTAAAAAAATTTTTTTATTTAGAAAAGATCTTGCTAAATTGCCCACACTGGGTTTGAACTTGCAATCCTCCTGCCTCAGCCTCCCAGAGTGCAGGGATTACAGTTATGTGCCACCATGCTAGGGTCAGGGTTCTGACTTTTCACTAGGATAAGCAGCACACTTCAGTGCCTACCATTACAGCTAAACTTCACATGTATTATGAGCTTCCCTATGAAACTGTTTATAAAAGTAATATGCTCCCCAGCTCCCCCAAGGCCCCAAGCTGCTTGGGCCCATTGCCATGGCTCTTTGGTCTAGGGTGGCAGAAGGCATCTCAGCATCAGCATTTTTTAAAGCCCTCCAAGTGGCTGTGCAGGTCATGATTGAAATATACAGTGAAAGTTTAAAAGTTTATCACAGCAGGGACGGAGGTTTAGCTCAGTGGTGCCAGCACCTGCCTGGCAAGCACAAGATCCTGAGTTCAATCCCCAGTTCCAAAAAAATAAAATTAAATAAATAAATAAAAGTTTATCACAGTAAAAGATATTGTCATGAATCCCTCAAAATGCTCCTCCTGGCTTCAAATACACTTATTCAATCATTCTTGCCACTTCCTGAAGCAGTTCTGGAAGTTCTCTCTCATGAGTGTCTTTATACGGTGAAATTTAAAAAAAATATATATATATATATATACATATATATATATGGTAAATGATGCTTCTGGGTGCCATCCAATGGAAAAGCAGGCTCATAAAAACATTACGTTTGTGCCAAGCATGGTGGTGCTTGGTGCATGGTGGTGCATGCTTGTAATTCCAGCATTTAGGAGGCTGAGGCAGGAGGATGGTTGTGAGTTTGAGGTTAGCCTGGGCTATAAAGTGAGTTCAAGGCCAGCCTGAACTACATAGTGAGACCCCAAAAAAGAGAGAGAGAGAGAGAGAGAGAAGGAAGGAAGGAGAGAGAGAGAGAGAGAGAGAGAGGAGAGCCTGGTATTTAGCTCAGTGGTTCCACTACCTGCCTTGCAAGTACAAGGTCTCGAGTTCCATCCCCGGTACCAAAAAAAAAAAGAGGAAGAAAGAAAAAATTTAAACATTTGGGGCCAGGGATGTAGCTCAGTGGCACCATGCCTCCCTTGCAAGCGCAAGGTCCTGAATTCAATCCCTGGTACAGGAAAAAAAAATTTAAACATTTGACCAGTATGGACAGTACAGTTCTCCACTTCTCCTCCTCCCCTACTTTCTTTCCTCCTTCTCCCTCTTTGGCCCTTCCCTAACCTCTCAGCCTCCGTTTCTTGTTTCCTGCCCCAGCTGAAGATGCATTGCTGCCACTCACCTGCTCCGGCCCTGCACGCCCCATGCTTGACTTGGCCTTCAGTGGCACCACCCCTTATGGGTATTTCTTAATCAGTGTTTGCAAAGATGATAAACCTATGTTACAGCGCGGAAATACTACAAGATTAGACTGGAACATTTGAGGATCACAAAGGTGCTGTTTGGGGTGCAACACTGAATAAGGAGGCCACCAAAGCAGCTCCAGCAGCTGCAGATTTCACAGCCAAAGTGTGGGATGCCATCTCCAGAGATGAATTGATGACCCTGCCTCACAAATACATTGAAAGACAATGTATTTCACATGAGGTAGTGATTACTGGTTAACTGGAGGACAAGATAAATTGTCACGCATATATAACATAAACAAACCTGAACACCAGAACCTAAGGAAATCAGTGATCATATTTGTAGCATTAAGAAAAAAAAGCTATATGATACAGTGAAGGTAAACAGATTCTGTCAACTGATGATAAAACTGTTTGCCCTTGGGATCATGCTACTGTGACAGAAGTGAAATCTAAATTTTAATATGTCCATTAGGAGTATGGAATATATTTCTGAGGGAGAGATCCTGGTTATTACTGTGACTTATTGTTTTTCAAAGTGCAGTAAGTTTGGACCCAATGAAACCTTTTGAAGCGTCTGCAGTCATCAATTCTGCATCTCTTCATCCTGAGAAAGAATTTCTAGCCGTAGGTGGTGAAGTTTTAAAATTTATAATAAGTATGATCATAATAATGGAGAATTAGAATCCTACAAAGGACACTTTGTTTCCGTTCACTGTGTGAGGCTGAGTCCTGTGGAGACTCGATGCCAGCAGTTCTGAAGGTGAAATGTTGACTGTGGCAAACTGTGGTAAGTAAAACCTCTGGCCTTTGGAAATATGTGGCTCCTGAAGGAGATAGAGGTAAATTGCCAAAGTCAAAGATCAGCTTTTCAGAAACAACAGAAGAGGAACTAGAAGAAGTTGTTTCAGAAAATTCAGATTCCATCTATTCTTCAACTCCTGAAGTCAAAGTCTGAGTATCAAGCTTGTGCCACAGATAGTATAGAATTTATAGACTAAGGGAGCAGGCAGAGAAAAGCATCTGCCTCCCATTGTTACTCTGTGCTTAACAGTACACTCAGCAGCGTGAACAATGTGGAATTTAACTCAGCCCTGGGGCCAGAACACTAACTTGGTGATACCTGTGAGTGAAAACTCAGAGCACCAGAGGAAGGCAGGGGAAGCCTTGTTAATAAGAGAGCCTGTTGTCTTTTTAATGAATACATGCAAGCAACATCCAATTTCTGTCATTATGATTACATTTCTTAGCTTTTTTGTTGTTATTATGGAGAAGGAAAATATATATGCCTATTTTTCTGACATTTCTCTTAAAGCAGAATGCTCACCTTTTTACCAAGATGGCACTGAAGGCAAAGAAGGACGCTCCTGCCCCTCCCAAAGCTGAAGCCAAAGCAAAAGCTTTGAAAGCCAAGAAAGCAGTGCTGAAAGGCATCCACAGCCACAAAAAGAAGAATATCTGCACGTCACCCACCTTCCGCTGTCCCAAGACGCTGCGGCTCCGGCAGCAGCCGAAATACCCTCGGAAAAGCGCCCCCAGGAGAAACAAGCTTGACCACTATGCCATCATCAAGTTCCCCCTGACCACAGAGTCAGCCATGAAGAAGATAGAGGACAACAACACACTCATATTCATTGTGAATGTCAAGGCCAAGAAGCACCAGATCAAACAAGCTGTGAAGAAGCTCTATGACATTGATGTGGCCAAGGTCAATACCCTAATCAGGCCTGATGGAGAGAAGAAGGCATATGTTCGACTGGCTCCTGATTATTATGCTTTGGATGTTGCCAACAAAATTGGGATCATCTAAACTGAGTCCAGCTGGCTAATTCTAAATATACATTATTTTCACCATTAAAAAAAAAAACCAGAATGCTCACCCTCTTTTTATCTGCTTTAGTTGTAAAGAAGAGGAAATATATGCTAAAGTAAATGGTTTGATTTCTCTTTCATCTTAAACTGCTTCTGTACATTGGTTCTAAATATTCATTGGGCATTTACCATGCAGGGCCTTTTTAGGAAACTACAGTCCAAGGATTCCTAAGTAGTTCCCAAATAGCAAACTCTATGATGTGGATCCTTGTGGATCCTGCAGTTTGCAGTTACTCTAGAAAGCACAGTTTGCTGCTGGTCACCTCTCCCACCAGCAGAGCTCTTGGACCACTGGACAGAGTAAAAGTATGAAACAAAGGGAACACCTTTCAGAGAGAGTTAACACACCCCACAGGGCCAGTCTTCCCTAGAAGAACTAAGTCTCTGGGTCTGGCTCTATCTACTTCCTCCAGCCATTGTCAGGCCTTGGGGAGATAAATATGGATGCCTTTCATCTACCCTAAATCCTTAAGGCTCCCCGTGCCCCTGAGCTCCCAAAGGCTGTCACCCAGAGCATGTGCTTGTCAGGAACATGAATTAATCAGGGTATTTTCATGGAAAAGCTGTCCAATGGAGGAGATGGCAGGACACCTGAGATGTGTCCGGCTTTCCCATACACCTAGCCTGATCACACTACCCTGGAAGAGGGTCTTCAGTCTTCCAGCTCCAAGAGCTCCTGTTTATAGAGTGCATAAATCCCTGCTAATGCCAGGCACTTGCCTCAGCAAGAGCAGCAGTCAGGCCCTGGTCAGGAAAAGAGACAGGGACCCTTTACTCCATTGATGGATGTTTCTCCCTCCCAGCCATCTGCACCACCAGTAGAATGGTACAGGCCTGAAGTCTGTGTGAAAATGGAATAACTTGATGATTCAGGGTCAGGCTCTATGTCATTTCCATATGTACTTGAGTAAGGTACTTAAGCTGTCAGTGCCTCAGTGTCCTCATTTATGAAAATATAATAAACCTACACCCTTAGGGTTGATGTAAAATTAAATAAGCTGGGCATATGATAAGCTTTACAGGAATGTTAGCTGTGATCTCAGGAGAGCTGTGGGAAAGCTGACTCCTAGGACCATTAAATCCTAACCATAGGACCATAAAATCTCCCCACCTCAATTCTGGCAGGTGTTGGAGCTGGTCATCAGGTGGAGAAGGAAGAGAGAGTGGACTGTAGGAGAGGCTTGATTATGGATTCCTGGAAGGTGAGGACTGCTTCCAGGGCACCCTCAAAGCCCAGTACTGCTAGCCTGGCAGTGTCTCACAGCATGTGCGCAGGAAACACCAGCCAAAAGAGAAAAACGTTAGCCTTCCTTCTTCCCCACCTCCAGGGGTGAAGTGGGGCGCCACTGTTGAGGAGCCTGTGGGTGGAGGAAGTGATTGAGCCACTCTTCTCGGGGAATGACTGGGAAGGGGAATCTGTGCCTTGACCTAGAGTGACCTCTCTACAGATCCCTTCCCCCAAGATCAAGAAAAGCCCAGCTTCAGAAGTCACTCCATCTGCATGGCTCACAACTTCCGGCAGCCTGGGGTCTTGAAAGTTGTGGTGAGTAGGGAGTGGGATGAGGGCACCCCACAGAAACTCAGAGAAGCCTTTGCGAAGCCAGGGACCTAATGGGGGCGCCAGAAGCTAGAGACTGACAAACGCGGGGGAGGGGGGCACCAGGACTGAGGGGAGCAGCGCGGTGTGTGGGGGGGTGGCCAGCTGGCTAGTGGACAAGACTCCTTTCTGAGGCCCAACGGTGCCTCTGCCCCCCTGGTGTCCAGCGAGGACTTGAAGAACCCAGAGTTTGTCAGCCAAGGCGGGTTCGGCGCGGTGTTCTGGGCACAGCGTAGGATGTGGGACTATGACGTGGCCGTCAAGATCGTGAATTCGTGAGTGTCCCCACTGCGGGACGCCGGGTCTGGCCGAGGGGGCGGAGCCGCTGAGCTACCCGCCTGAGTGGGGAAGGGAGAGGTCTTTCCGGGAAGCGGATGGGCGGGCGGACGGAGCTCTTTCTTTAGGGAGGCGATATCCAGGGAGGTGAAAGCCATGGCAAATCTGCGTAACCTGTATGTGTTGAGACTGCTAGGAGTGACCGAGAACCTGCAGTGGAACGGCGTGTCTGGGCCAGCTCTGGTGACGCAGTTCATGGAGAACGGATCCTTGTCGGGGCTGCTGCAGAGGGATTGCCCTCGGCCCTGGCCTCTAGTCTGCCGCCTGCTGCAGGAAGTGGTGCTCGGGATGAGTTATCTGCACAATCTGAACCCAGTGCTACTGCACCGGGACCTCAAGCCCTCCAATGTCTTGCTGGACACAAACCTGCACGCTAAGGTTAGCCCACCCACACCCAGCCCAACCTTGGGAGAAGCCCCCCATCCCTTACCCCACCCCCAGAGCTGCCACAGCCCCACCCACTGGGACAGGTCCTGGGGCAGCCCTGTCTGCTGAATACCCTCAGCCTTTGCTCTGGACTGCCCAGAGGTCAAAGCCCAGCCAAGAATTTTAGCCGCCGCCACACCGGGCAATAGAGGTCTGGGCCCACGTGCTCAGTTCCATGGAACCACCCCACCAAAGACCCATGGCCTACTCAGCCCAAGAGACTCAGACTTGTCTGGAAAGAAGCTACTCAGTCACTCGATGGCCCAGAACCACCCACAGGAGGCCTAGATCTCCCACCCAAAGCCCCCACTCTCCCTTTCCTTACTCCCTTTATAAAACAGGCCCTGCACCTTCTGCAAGAAGGGAGGGGAGGATTCTAGAAGCTCTGCAGCCCACTTCATTCAATACTTCCTCCTTCCCTTCCTCTGCAGTTGGCAGATTTTGGCCTCTCCATGTTTCAGGGCGGGTCACTGTCAGGAGCAGGGTACGGGTCCCAGGGGCCAGGGAGTACCCTGGCTTACTTGGCTCCAGAATTGTTGGCTGATATATTCAAGAAGGCCACCAAGGCCAGTGATGTCTACAGGTAAAGTACCCACCCCAAACACACATCCCAGATTTCTACACCTCTCTGGAGCCCCTTTCAGGGTATGGTATCTGGGAAAGGAATCTTGCCAGTGGTTGGCCAGGTGTCCGCCTGTGTCTCCTGCAGCTTCCAGATCCTCATGTGGGCAGTGTTAGCAGGAAGAGAAACTGAGGGTAAGACTAAGAAGACTTTGGGGTCCTAACCCCAGGTAGCCTCTTCCTGAAAGCCTTGAGCCCTCCCTTTCTGGCTTAGCTACTCAGACTGCCTTCTGCACCTCTTCCTTGGTCAAGGGGACAGGTATCCCCTCATACCCTGAGTGCCTTTTCTGTCACCCTCCCACCCCATCCCAGTGGTGCCCCAGACATCACTGATCCATGAAACAGTCGTTGAGAAGCAGATCCGGCCCCCGTTGACTGAGCTGCCTCCGTGTCGCCCTGAGACTCCAGGCTTGGAAAAAAACTGGAGAAGCTGATACAGTGCTGCTGGAGCCATGAGCCCAATGACAGACCCCGCTTCTTCCCAGGTGAGCTGTCATTTCACTGGCAGCTGGAGTAGGCTTCAGTCTGTGAGCAGGGGGCTTTTCCCAAGAAAAGATGTTCTGCTCACTGCAACCCAATCTGCCGTCTCTCAGAATTCCAGGAAACCACCACAAAAGCCTTTTGGGGGGTACATGACAAAATGGGTGACACCATCTCTGAGGTGAGTGCCCAACCACTTCCCCCACACAGGATCTGGTCAGGGATAGCACACATGGCTCCCTGGGCCGTCCACTGCCTCCCTACTGAGCACTGTTGTGTGTGCCTTGACCTTTATCCTTGCCCTCCCCAACCCACTCCGAGCTACTAGGCACGTTTACTCTGGCTCTTCCAACTCATGCCCCACAAGCTCCTCTTGTCTCTGTAGGTGACAAAATTCCTGTCTGAGCACAGGAGCATCAATAGGAGGTTGTCTGCCCCAGAGCCAAGCCAAAGAGGGACCAAAATGGATGAGGGAGCCACTGGAAGGCAATGTGCCTGGATTGATTCCATGTTGTCTGAGAGTCTGAACTGCCTGAAGCTGGAGCAGTTCCCCATCTCAGTTCCTGAAACATGCACAGGCCTTACTGAGGAGAGGGGGGCACAGAAAGAGCAAATTCAGCATGCCAGGACAGGAAGGACCTCTTCATATTCAATGGCTCAAACTCTCCAAACTCCAGAGACCTTACCTTTCTGAAACCAGACAAACAGGCCTATTTTGACTGGAACTCCAAGTCCTGGACCCCAAGGCAATCAGGTGAGACATTGGCCTAACTCTGTTCCCTTACCAGAAACAACTTGGGGTTATAGGGTATGCAGTAGGGGAACGAGGCTCCAGGACACGAGGCCTGACAGCTGTGCTGTTTGTAGGGAGCTAAGGGACATGACACCAACTAGTCCTCCAAGGCCCCAAAGCCAGATCCAACAACAGGTACCCATCTCCCACCCCCATCCCTTTCCGCTGCTAAATTCTCCGCCACCTTCTTGCTTAATGCCTACATATTGACCCAGGGTATTTTGGGGGTGGAGAGAAACACAGTCTTCTCATGTCATAAATGAAGAAACTGACATCCACTGGGAGAGGATCCAGCTGAGGTCACACAGCAAAGCCTTGGGTCCTCTGACTCTCCCCAGCACCAGCTCTGTGAGCCCCTCGGTTCTGTTGTTGCTATGGCAATGCAAAGCGTCTCCCAGCACAAAACCCCCAAAATCAGTTGCTACTTCTCCTGAGCTTTAAAGCCACTTATTGAGAGGCAGCCTGAAGGGCAAGGCACAGGACCCACCTTGACACAGCCAGTGGCAGGCGAGTTCCCCCTTGCATTTCCCCCAGGTGAACACGAGGTGCCGCTGTCCTCCTCCCCAGTGGGCCTGCTCACCTCTTTCCGAGGGCTAAACCCTCCCACCACCGCCGCTCTTTTTCTTAAAGGGCCCTCGGTTACTATAAACACCTGAAAGTGGCTGCAGATTGGAAACAACAACCACATGACAGTGCACCACACAATTACTTTCACGAAGCAGGGCCCGATACCGTTTGGCATGAATAGGAGGGGGCAGCACCCCCATAAGTAGGTTTGAAAAAAGGCCTGCCGGATCCTGAAGCCTGGAGTGGGCCACATGGCCAGTATAAAGTGAGAACTGAAACACCTCAGGCGGCCTGTAGGTGTTGAAACGGCCAGGGTCACTCCCTTTGGCCATCAGCTTTCTTCCAGTGCAGTCCCTGCTATGCCCCAACTGACTTTGTGATCTGCCCCTGCCCCAAGAGTCAATAAACATGTTTGAACGTGGTTCCCCAAAGCGGATGAGAGTCTGATGTGTAGGGTGGGGTGGGGGGTTGAGGATGCCAGGAGCGGATAACCAGGGAGGCGGAGGCACTGCAGTCTGGCCAAGGCAGGAAGGAATCCCGGAGGTCTGGCTCCCTGGTGACCGCCCGAGGCAGGCCGCTTCCTCCAGAGCTCACCACCAGCCCCACCTTAAGCCTAAATTCAAGGGATGGGGCTCCTGGTCCCTCAGCTTGCCTTTTCTTCTGGACTTTGTAGGAGCTGAATCAGGCCCCTAGGAAATGGGGTGACTCTGTGGGAATTTGCAGACGCTAGCCCTTCTCCTGCCCTACAGGAAGCCCCCTTTATTGTCACCTCTCTCCACTACACAGGGTCATATTCTCTCACGCTGCTTTCTAGGTGTGGGAGCCCCCCTCTTTTTTTTTCTGGTACTAAAGATTGAACCCAAGGCTTTAGCAGTGAGCTGCATTCCCAGCTCTTTATTTTTATTTTTTATTTTGAGACAGGGTCTCACTAAATTAAGCTGCCCAGTTTGGGCTCAATCGTGAGATCCTCCTGCCTCATCCTCCTAGAATACTGGGATTACAGTGGAGAGGCATTTTGATTCTCAGTTGGTATTGGGGAATGAAAGCTGTGGCCCCACAGAATACCAGAACACCACCTACCTTGGAGCTGGAGGTGGCAGGAGCATGAACAGTTCAGACTGCCAGAGCTGCTGCCAGAGAGGCTGGGAGTGGAGAGGAATGAGGGTCCCTAACCCGACCTAGATCCCAGCCGCACCTGGCGGGAGGACGCACTCCCTTCCCTGGGCTCTCACCAGGCACATCGCAGCCCTCCCTCAGTCTCCCCACACCCTAACGTTCTGCCTAAGTTTTGACACAGTCTCCAAGGACCACCCCTCCGCTTCACCCTCTGCTAGGGTCCCCCACTCCCTTCCCTTGCAGGGACCAAGGAAGGAAGGCAGTGATTAGAAGATAACGAGCGAGCCGGGTGATGTGAGGGGAGGCCAGGGGAGTGCTCCGCACGGGAAGGGGCTGGGCTGTCCCGGCGGGGAAGTGGGAGGGGGCCGTGGCGCCGGGAGGGAACCGCCTGTCGCCCGGAGATCTGTGACACTAGTGACCAGGCTGCGTGGCGCGCAGTGAGTTGGGGGAAAAGACAAACCCTGGCCCCTTCGCGTCCACCCCAAGTCCTGCCCTCGTGCTGAGGCGTTTGCTGCGGCCTGTCCTGTGTGTCCGCGCTCGCGGGAGGGGTGGGAAGGACCGGGCGGCCGTCGGGAGCGCCCTGCGAGGTTTCGAGGTTGCGGCCTTGGGGCAGGTGAGAAAGGAGGCGCCGTGGAGCCCCGGGCACTCGGCCCGCGCCTGGCCAGCCCCAGGCCTGCGGCCCGGGCCGCGGAGACCATGGCCCGCCTCTTCAGCCCCCGGCCGCCCCCCAGCGAGGACCTCTTCTATGAGACCTACTACAGCCTGAGCCAGCAATACCCGCTGCTGCTCCTGCTGCTCGTCATCGTGCTCTGCGCGCTCCTGGCGCTCCTCGCCGTGGCCTGGGCGAGCGGCAGGGTGAGCGGGGCGTGCGGTGCGGGAGGGGAGGTCATTGCCCCGGGGTCATTTTCGGAATCGGAGTTTGGGGGCTTTCTTTCCCATATTTTCTCTTCTGGGAGCCAGAGAAGCGCATAGAAACTTGCTCTGAACCATAGGGACCCTGGGCATTCTGCCCTCCGGGCCTTGCTCTCTAGGTCTGCCCAGAAATAGCTCCGTCCTGGTTGCTTCTCATTTCCCTCTGGGTTCTTACAGCCCTCAGGAGTTTGTGTCCACCGGTTCTAGAACGCTAAGTCCAACACCAGATTTTCCAGTTTTCCAGAGGGGAAATTCTACTCAAGCCCCTGTGGAGATTCATTTCCTGGCCTTTCCTCCTCCTTTGGCAATGTGGGGCAGTTGTACCCCCACAGACTCCCAGAAGGCCCCTTCATTCGACCCTCAGGGAGCCCCCAAATCAACCCATTTTCAGACTTTCTTTGGGGAGGAAGAAGGACTTCGATTCCATAACTGAAAATATCCTGCTCCTTGTTTTCTTTTCACTGCATGGAGGCAAGGCGGGAAAATCAAATGGGTGTGGCCAGTCCTTGTTGGTCCACCCAAAGTCCGGAAAGAGGTGGGAACAAAGGGCGGGAACAGCCAGGGGACTTGCCGGAGCAGAGGCAGGTGGTGAAACCCCAGCCTTGGTGGCTAGGAAGGGGCGAGGGAGGAGCGCCCCCTGCTGCTCAAGAGCTGCTTCGCGCTGTCCCCGAAGCCTCGAGCTACTCCCGCCTCCCACCGCAGCGAAATTTATCCTGAGGAAATTATCTTGATTTGGAGACATTCATTCCTTAGTGTCATCTCGTTCACTTGCTGCCAGACATCAGGCAGGTACAACAATTTTGGTTTGACAGATAAAAGAGGCGTGGAAAGACCATGGATTCCCAGATAGCCCATAGGGGGTCGAAACTGGCTGTTCTGTGTAACTCTCCCAGTTCCACGGCAGCGTGCAAGTGAGATACTAGGTTGAACCATATGACACTGCCAACTCTGTTGATAAAAACAAAAAGATATCAACAATTTTTCCCAGTACTAAAGATTGAACCCAGAGCCTTGCCATTGAACGTACATCCCCAGCCATATATATTTTTACTATATTATATATTTATATATCTATTATTATATTATATATATTTATTTATATATATATATTGGGGGATCAAACCCAGGGGTGCTCTACCACTGAATCACATTCCCCAAACCATTTTATTTATTTATTTATTTACTTATTTATTTATTTATTTATTTATTTTGGTACTGGGGATCAAACTCAGGACCTTGTGCTTCCAAGGCAGGCATGGTGCCACTGAGCCAAATCCCTGGCATATTTATTCATTTATTTTTAAGACAAGGTGTTGCTACATTACCCAGATGGTGCTGGAATTTGCAATCCAACCTGCCTCAGCCTCCCAGAGTGTTGGAATTACAGGCATGCACCACTGTGCCTGGCTGGCAATTTCCTATGGTTCAACTTAATATGCATGGCAAACAGGTGCTGTGCTTCCTTTTCATATTTGGGTTTGAGACGCTTTTTAGAAATGTCCAGGAAGCTGCTCGCTCTTCCTCTATCTAATTGGTTTCTCCTCATTTGATTAAGCGCCCTAAGCTTCCCATCAAATTCACCCCACACATCCTTGGCCCGCAGGAGCTGACCTCGGACCCAGGCTTCCTTCCCACAGTGTTAAGTGCTTTGGGTGGCTTCTTGCTGCTGCTGGGCCTAGCTTCCCGTGAGCAGCGACTGCAGCGCTGGACACGACCACTGTCTGGCCTTGTGTGGGCTGCATTGCTGGCCCTAGGCCAGGCCTTCCTGTTTACAGGGGGCGTCGTGAGCGCCTGGGACCAGGTAAGATGGATGGCAGGAAAGGAATGGGGGAACCAGCACCCAGGCCGTTTGCTGTGTGGGCCTTCAGCTTCCTGCGCCCTGCTCCAGGTGTCCTTTTTCCTCTTCATCATCTTCACGGTGTATGCCATGCTGCCCCTGGGCATGTGGGAGGCTGCCGCCGCAGGTCTTACCTCCTCACTCTCGCACTTGCTGGTCCTCGGGCTGTACCTTGGGCCACAGCCAGACTCCCAACCTGCACTGCTGCCACAGGTAAGCATGCAAGTAACACAAGCAGTGGCCTGGGCCAGCTCTGCTGTAGGTCCTCTGAGCATTTACTGAGCTATGACTAAGTTTGGGTGCAACAGTGGGTGCAGGTCCACACATAGACCTGGATAAGGGCCTCTAGTCACTGGTACACCCAGGCAGTGCCATGCCTACTGATGCCAGAGGAGGGCTCTGGGCCCATGGGGAAGGGTGTCATAGTTCACCCAGGGAGAAAGGGTGTGGAGGCAGAAGCAGATAACGGAAACTTCAGAGAACGAAAATCAGAACTTCAGTAGTTTTGTGCAGCTACAATGGAGGCAGAGGATGAGGAGGGTGAAGTGCTACTCCAGACAGAGGAAAGGTACATGCAAATTGTAAAGATTTCTAGACTAAGAAGCCGTGTTGGCCCAGCAGCCAAGAGTCTAGAGCAGAGAGCACTGGGAGGGGAGACACTCTGGGAACCTCATAGTGTGGCACCACTTGCCCTGAGAGGCTTGGATTCCTAACTAGAGCCAGACCTTCCCCAGCCCACTCTGGAAAACAACTTCAGCTACGGCCCTAGACACCCCAATCTCCCCTGGTCCTGCTCCCTCTGAAGCTGGCCCCCCCCCACAGTTGGCAGCAAATGCAGTGCTCTTCCTGTGCGGGAATGTGGTGGGGGCATACCACAAGGCGCTGATGGAGCGTGCGCTGCGGGCCACCTTCCGGGAGGCACTCAGCTCCCTGCACTCTCGGCGGAGACTGGACACAGAGAAAAAGCACCAGGTCAGCTGGGCCCAGGAGGCAAGGTGGACCCATGCTCAGAATCGTTTACATTACACATGGACTCCTTTACAAGCCCAGTTACTTGACCTTCTATGGTGTTTCCTCCTTTGTACAAACTGTGGTTATTGCCCAACTTAGAAGGTTGTTGCTAGGCTCAATGGACTTCAAGACATTATATTAAGTGAAGAACTCTAATTCAGGTGTTGGTACTGAGAGTTAAGTCCCTAAAGGTGTTGAGGGTGGGATGGGGTGCTGGAACGGGCAGGGCTGAGGGGAGCATACTGGGGGAAGCAGTGTGTGGGCTTCTTGGCCGGAGGCCTGAGTAGGGGAGGGTTGGTGCTCATAGTGACCTTCTCCAGGAACACCTTCTCTTGTCCATCCTTCCTGCCTACCTGGCCCGAGAGATGAAAGCAGAGATCATGGCACGGCTGCAGGCCGGACAGGGGTCACAGCCAGAAAACACCAATAATTTCCACAGCCTCTATGTGAAGAGGCACCAAGGAGTCAGGTACGAGGAAGGGTGAGCAGCGGGGAGGGCTGTGGACTGAGCCTGGTTCCACTGACGAAGTCTGCCCTGCACAGTGTGTTGTATGC